TAGAGACATACTCAATTATGAGCTTTCCTTGCAAATTTTTCATATGGTTAAAACGAATAGACAAGAAGAAATATAAAGTTAAAATATTCATACTTCTTTCATACAATATTTGAAAGAATATCTAGCAATTAAGCCGTGCAGCATATGGGACTCTTACAAATCCAGAAAGCATTACGAAGATTATCCTGAACTTTATAATGGTATTTATTAGGCCACATAAGTTGATTTTTCGTTTTGCATTACCCGCCGGCCTATTTTTTTTCAATTTTTCGTTTTTTAACCCTAATTGCGTCAATTATTCTAATTTTACCATTTGGTTTTTTTCATAAATTACTCCGTTATCATCGATAGAGATCTTGTTTTTCTGAAATTATTTGATAGAACTAATAGAAAATGATTCAACTTCCAACCCAATTTTTGATTCCATGTGTACAAAGCGAAAAATCAACTTTTGCGGCCTTAGATGTGAACATGAGTCTATTAATCTACTGTAGATAAAAAAAAAAAAAAATCTGACCAACCGATCGGAATTTTGAAATCTGTGTAATGCAAAGTGAAAAATCAACTTTGTGCGTCTCTATCCGTATCTAGTATTCATTGATTAGATTTTACACTTAATTACTAATTTATTACTCGTAATATATTTTAATTACACCAATATTCGTAGATTCGAGTAATTCAACATCTACCCCAACTTCAACAAGATCTTAGCAAGAAACTAACATTTAAATCCCGTATTCCAAGGTCATCAGCTCAACAACTACCTTTAAAATCTATTACTAATCAAGCGACACCATATTTTATACCACCTTTCATAACTTTATGAATCATCCGAATTTGATAACAAGAAGAAAAAATACTATCATTCCCACTATTACTTTTAATTGAATTTGCAATATGTAAAATTTTTGTGTAATTTCCGGATATAACAATTTTTAATTGAGAATTATAAAAAAATAAAATTTTTACGTGTCACATGATTTTAATAATAAACTGCTGCAATAATATGGAATTTTTTCCGTCAGTGTATACATAGTACCTGCCGGATAAACCCTGTTACCTGTATTCCTATGATACCAAATTTTAGTTCTTTTGTTAATCTGCGACTTTTATGCGCCCAGAACATCCCATCATTAACCTCACGCCATAATTTCACATAATCGTTGTCTTCTTTTTGGTCGGTGCAGATAATTCGAGAACATTCCGAATACATTAGTTCATAATATTTATCATTTTCTTTAGTTATGAACATAATGTCAGGTTTCCTCCATCACCTCTTCTGTCCGCACTTGCGAGACTTTGTCGTTCGAAACTAAAAAAAAAATTAAAATATATTAAAGATTCTTAACTATATTAAATAATTTATTGACTTACGTGGTGATAAATGCTGATTCTCCAAAAGGATTGTTATACAAAACAGCATTAATTAACGGAACAATAACATTATTTACGTAGGTGCCTTCATTCAATGACTCAACAAATTCAGGACGAAAGGCTGGATTGCACCAAATATTTTTAAATGTCTCCAAAATTTTTTTCGTAATTCTATAAGTCTATCATCACTTTCTTTCCAGTCTCCGCTATGGGACAATCCATATGGTAATCTCAATACATTTTGTGATGGAAAATCAGATATAAAGTTATTACATTCTTCCTGTATAGCAAAAGGCATTGATGCCGGTACTATTTCGTCTAGAGGTTTCTTTAAGATTATAACTTTAATGTTTATAATAAAATTTAGATCAGTTGAATATAAAACGCAGGTTTATACATACCAAAAATTTTTTTCTTTGCTTATTTTTCAATTTTTTAACTAAAACTGAATCGTCACTTATAACCTGACTTGCTAATGGATTTCGCCAAGTTAGTTTCGAAAGTTCCGAAACAGATATATCATTCAAATTAGCTATTAATGCTTGGTAAAGTTTTGAGTGGTGGACGCTTGAGGTGCCATTCTTAATATGGAATTTCTTGTCAAACATTGATGATAAATTTTAGGATTTGCCAAAATCAATAAATTATACTTTGTTTACTTACCGAAAGTTTTCCTCTTAATTTATTTATATTATTGTTAATCTGTTCTGAAGTAAGAGGCTTCTTATTCTAAAAGGATATACGTTAATAAACCTTTGTTTTACCAACCATCCAACCATTGTAAACACATACCGTTTTTAATACTCCAACATCCAGCAAGTTTAGAATAGAATCGAACGCAATATCGAACTAGACGCAATTATAAAAACAAGTTAGAAGCTACCTTAAATAATGCGCGCTATATATATTCTTAACCACGTGGCAGTCAAAAAAATACAAAGACACATTCGGTACGGCCTGGCTACACGAATGGGACTTTGTGAGGTGTTATATCTTCTAATCGATTTTTTATTCTATCAATTATAATCGATAATATATATATTATTGAACGAAAAATGGAATAACAGAATTCATTATGGTTTGATTAAATGTTAAAAAGATAGTGTATTTATTTTACGGTATCGATTATTTATTTTAAAAGCTTCGAGAATTAAAAATAAAGTGGCTATTTTTTCATATCGGTTAGAAATTTGTTGAGGATTTATTGTTTATTATAGTAAATTTTTGAAGAAAAAGATGGTTTGTAGCTCGCTGATCTGTTCATCGCAATGGCAACTCACTTGGTTAACTTATTCAATTTCCGACTATTAAAAATTTGCCTCCGATCCATTGAGTGAGGTGCTTGAAAACACCCTTAGGCCCGTGGTAGCGATAAATTATAAAGCCCTAACATGGATTAAAATTTTATATTTTTTTTAAAAAAAAATTATATCTTTACAATTAAAAAGATTCTTTATATGTTGTATGTTTATGAGGATCGAATCCGATGAAGTTAATCAATTTATAAGTTTTTTCTTTTCATCGCAACTCTTAAATTTTTAATAATGAAAATAACAAAAATATTTTATGCACAACAACTTTTTCTAGTTTTCGCAATAGAATGTTTTTTGAAAAAATATTGCTTACATGTTTTACCGATATTGTGATGATAAAGTTACTTTTGAATAAAAAAAGATTCATCCAAATGCATTCAAATCTATGATTTTGAAATCTTTTATTTAGAATTATTAGAAACATCTGGAATGTAACGTTTTGCACCACTTTTTTAAAAATGGAAGAATTTATTTAAATTTCTATTTATGAAGTTTTTGATACTTTTTCGAAATATAATATTTTAGCAAACTTTCGAAAAAATCTTGAAACTTGGAATGCGAACTACCATTACATTAATATACACATATGTACGAGTGATTATTATGTTGAAAACCATAGTTTATTGAAAAAATAGCCAAGTAAACTATTTTATTGTTTCAGAACGCAAAAAACGTTTATTAATGAAAATACATTTTGCAATAAAAACAATTGAAAAATTCTAGTCATGAAGAACTTCTTTATAGTGAAATTTATTAATATTAGTCGTGTACTCTTACGTACGCAATTTACGTAACATTAATTTATTGATTTCCACATGTTTAGTTTAAACCAACCACGAATTAGTTGTAAATTTGTATAATTTTGTAAAGATCACATTTGTTTCAAAATTATACGATTTTCAAAACACACATTTGGTGTAACTATTCGAACTCAAAAAAATTCTTATTCTTCCGATTTATCAAAATAGTAAAAACGTTTAAAAGTGGCTATTTTGAAACTTCCGATTGTAATGACTCCATCAGAATTTTTACCACAGAAAATAAAAAAAATGAATTCGCATAACGAGTTTAAGAGACCTCTAAATTCGTTTATGATATATAGGACAGTTATTCACAATTACCTCAAAGCCAATAATGTCAAATATTCTAGCCATTTTGTCTCCAAGATAGCAAGTAAACTATGGAAAAACGAATCTACAGAGATTAAAAACGTGTATAAGCAATTGGCAGAAACAACGAAATGTCATAGGAATAACAGTGACAAAAAGTCTACCTATCTTGACATTCATTCGATCAACACCGAATCTATATCTATGAATTCGCCAACTATCATCAATGATACTGCTGCTATTCCAGTGCAAATACTGGATTTCCAATATAATCTTATAATTATTTCTTTGCATTGATTTCTAAATGTCAAAAAGTATGATATTCCAATGGAATTCAGTACCTTTTAGATTCTCTAAAGTTTTATTTCAGAAATACCCTGACCATTAGATCAAGATCACGGGGTATTTATTAAAATACCTTTGACGTTGATGGAACACAACACTCACGTGATAATCCAGCCAATGTTAATTCTGGTCATTGTTGTGCATCTGAAATGTGTACAAGCGGAAACGAAGTTCCGCAAATATTACTTTGTAGTTCGTTCATATTTCAAATTGTTTTGTTCAGACTTATCATTTGTTTTCACTTTATTGTATATTTTATATAACTTATATTTCAACTTAATAAAATTTATTTCAACTTAAAATTTGAAGATTTTGTTGAGCTATAACAGATTACAGTATGCACAGTATAGATAGCATTCTATTACCTAAATATACGAATGATAAATATAATTATAAAACTATATACTTTCGTATTAACGGTGCAACATACGAGCATTATACATATTTCTTAAAATGCTTCGTTGTATGCTTGGACATGGATTTGTACTATCAATATACGTAATTTTGTGCTGCATTTTTTGCTTATACACTTTTAACTAACCAATGTTTTGCGTTGGTTTTTTGCTGATCAATTATTTACGTAAATTTACAATCGAACATGTAAAAAGTATATAAGCTACGTATTTGATTTCATGGATTGTCTCGCGGGCATCATCCTTTAATACTCCACACACTCCCTAATGAAATCGTGTATGGTATCGGGTGCTGAACAATTTTAAAGTTAAAATATAAGATTCGGCTACCCAGACCAGCACAGTAGTGGCTCTTCACAAAAAAAAAATATATATATATAAAAAAATAAAGTAAATAAAAATAATAAATAAAAAACTATTAAATTGTTCAGGGAAGAGATCTAAAAATGACTCGTGGACAGAGGAATCCAGAAATAACTATAAGAAGAAACGGAGTCCCAAATTATATCAAATTTATTAAAAACTCATACCCTTTTGAAGAAGCCTTTCCTGTTCAAGAGAATTATTTAAGAGAGTATCTTGCCTACCTTGCTCAAAAAGTTGAAGCGGGTGAA